TTTGGGTTTTATTGTATGTAGATAGGGCTTTTTGGGGTTACACTGCTTTTATTTGTGTATTTATTTATTTTTTGCTACAAGGCTCTCAGTCCTGGGTTCTAAGCAGCTGACCCAGGATTTTAACACAATCCCAGCATTATACTGTGCCAGATTAAGTCCCCTGCTAGCCAGGTGCTGGGATCCTCATTCCATCAACTGGCTTCAGCTTCTTTGCTGGTCTGTTGGGAGGAATGATCTCCTGCCCAAGAGGAGCATTATAGCTTTGGCAAAGTGAGACAGTGGGATACAAAGTGTGAACTGAACTTTGTGTCAGAAGCGTGTCCCCAACTGACAGTACCTTACTCTCCTCTCCCACTCAGAGTACAAGGCATCTCCTCTTTCCCAGCAGAGCCTCACTACTTCCCCATGGAGTATTAGTGCTCCTCCTCTCCCCCAACAGTGTAACAGTGACCCTCACAGAGCACCAATCCCCCTCCCTCATTGAGCTCCAATGCTCCTTTTTCCCCTCCCTGAACATTTTTTCTCTCACTGACCACTGACGTTCATCATTCCCCAGATGCCAGCCATTTTTCCTCCCCTAGGCCATCTACGCTGGGCATTTTACCTTTTACTGACCAGAAACCATGGGCTTTTTCTCCTTTGGCTGACCACAAATGCTGGCCATTTTTTACTTCTGCTGACCACAGTTGGTGGACATTTTTACCTCCTACTGGCCAGCAATATAAGGGGCACTACAACACATATTCAGCACATTGACCATCTATTCTTAGAGTTGCCTTTTGCTTGCACCGCATGGCTGCATCATTTGAAAGAACAGTGTGCACCTAAATCCCCTCTAAATTATATTACTCACTTTCACCACATCCCACTTTCCCCATATAAGGTAGGCATACAACAATTAGGCCTATTATTCATGACTAAAAATGTCCTGCTGTTGGACAATTTTACACTGTTGTATCCACTTTGTTATCTTAATTCTGGTAGTAAGACCCCATTTCCGCGCTCTTAGTCTGTGGTAAATTTGGGCCTAGCTTTTTTTCCTTAAAATTGTCTAATGATGGCCAATTTAACACTGTTGTATAATCTGCAGTGTATTCATTTTTATAGTAAACCACTTCCTCTACTCTTTGTCTCTAGCACATTCAACCAATTTTCCCCCAGTAATTATGTCCTGCTGTTGGCCAATTTTACACTTCTGTGTCATCTGCTGTCTCTTAACTTAAAATGAGAGTTTTATAGAAATTGGACAGCAGCAGGACAGCTGAGACTGTATAAAAGTATACTGTTCCATAACCACACCCAACACCACATACAGCTTCAAGGCATTCCCCAGGAGTATTATTTAAAGTATATGAGTGTTTTCAATGTTGCCCCCAAAGCCACTTAAAAAGACTCTCACTTTGCCATAAATTGTTTTAACTTTTATTTTCATTGATACATGGCCCCCATGCCAGTGCCCTGCTACCCCCATGCATTTTGCATGTTTGCCTATTAGCCCTAAAGAAAAGCCAGAATTTATTAACCTGAATTCACCCCTATAGACTTACTCACAATTGTCATTCTGCAGGCCAATTTTACACTGCTTTATCTTCTGTGGTCTCTTAATTCTTGTAGTAAAACACCTACCTATACTTTGTCTCTACTACTATTCAGTCTATCATTAATTAAAAATGATAATTGTCCTGTTGCTGGCCAAATTAAAATTGTCCTGTTGCTGGCCAATTTTACACTATTTTATCATCTGCAGCATCCTAATTCATGTAGTAATGAATTAAGTAACTGCACACTTTGTCTCTAGTAAATTCCCTGCTAAATTTAGGTTTGCCGAGTTTTTAAACAGAATTAGCCAAATATTTGGTGGATGAAACCCAGGCAGATTTGCTAATCCCTAAAAAGGTACCTCATTGTCCCAACAAGGTAGTTATAAATGCGCAGAGCTGAGTCAGGTATACAGTATACTAATATAAAGGAAAGTGAAGTAATAAAACTGTGTTAGTGCTGGTCTAGATTGCTGTATGTTCACTGCTATGGTCTAATAGTAAACACACAATAAAGTAAACCTGTCACAAACTTGGAAGATTCAAACTGAGCATGCGATCCGATACATTGCCACTGGTTGGGTTCAGTATAAACCACATGTCAAAACAATTAGTAAACTCAGAGACATAACAGCTGAAATGATATGCAAATCTCAACTCTTTCTGTAAAAATAGAGCTTGTCCCACTCCCTTTCTGCCTTCTGAGCTTGTCTAGTGGCCATTTGATCTCATGGATGGCTTTACTAACCAATAAGTATGGTTAGGAGGCAAAAATACAGGGCCAAGCTCAAGTTTACTGGAATGGTTGAGGTTCAAATATAACCTCAAATATGATCATAACTTCATAATATCTGCCTATGTATTTTTTTTTTTTTCATTACATGCTAAGTTTGAATTGACCAGGTTTATGAGAGGTCTACTTTATATAGTTGATGAGGTATGTGTATTACACTCACTTGGTATCCCATGATTTTCCTCTTAAGTACTCCTATTTCAATATAAGATATTTTATGCTTATAGCCCTGCTTTACCTTATCTTTCATCTTTGTCTCACACCAAAAAATACTTCGGTTGACTTCCACATTAATGCTAAAAACAAATATTGCAATGTAAAACATTTGTTTAAAAGTTGTTCAATTTCAATATGCATATGAAATACTTATGTAATACTAAAGCTTCATTATGCCAGGACTATATGCTATACTTTTGCGTACCATGTGACTGAAATATATTGCATTAGTGTGATCACTATGTATGTTTAATCCTCTTATCTTATGTAGGTAGTCTTGGAGAAACAATCCTTCACACTGCTATATTAAATGGTCAGATGGAAGTCTTGAAGGTCATATTAGATTGTGTCCCATCATTAATCAATGAACCGATGCTGCTGAACTATTGCAAAGGTATGGATTTCAGTTTAAACCTCTGGCCCCTGTACAAGTTAACATACAGGCCAAATACCTCTGCATGCTTCTTTTTTTTTGCCTCTATCACTCCTCACCTACCTACCCAACTCTGCCCCCCTAGCCCCATTCTCAGTAAATAAGAACCTGTTTTGGCAAATGGAAGTAAAAGGCAGGATAGAGGGTCGTGGGACAGCATTTAGTTTTAACTAAGCCCTCATTCACACAAGTAACAGCCGGGCCGTACAGATCCGTGCTGCGTGCACAGCCATATCGGGCCCCTCCCGGGAAGGACAGGTGCTGCGTATGATTACACGCAGCAGCCTGTTCGCCCTATATGGGAGTACATGGGTGTCCCTGTTCTATATCAAGTAGGATTGCATAAAATAAGCAAATCCATGTATATAGAGATATATTTACAGATTTTTTTAATACTGTGCTTATGAACCTTTAAGAAAGCCTTGATCAATGTAAAAATTCTAACAAATCTAATATCTGGATAATGTACTTCTTGTTGGGCATGAAAGTTTTTAGAAATGTTCCAGATTCAAGCGTCAGGTGAAACAGCCACTCCTCAAATCAGCAATTCTCCCAAACAAGACCACCTGGAAAGGCCGTCATCTTGAAAGCTATTGTGGTGCTTCATCAGGAACATATAACAAAACAAAGGGGGTTATTCACTTCAGCCTTGTACGGCTGAGCCGAAGTGCAGACGGAGTTCGACTCAGCCGATCCTAGGTCTGGATGGGCTAAACCGAAGCTCCGGCAGCTCACTCGCTCCCGTTCGCCCCTATTCTAGCAAGCAGTAGATATATGCAAAACAACAAAAAAAGGGTTAATACTTACCCAGGAAAGGAATGGGCAATTAATTATCATTACCTCTTTCTAATTAGCATAGAGGTGATCTAGGAGGCAGTTTTCCCATGTGTGGTCACTTTTAAGGAAACCTGTTATGATACAACCATGCAGGTTATCATTTCTGGCCTCTTTCACAAAATGTTCTTTGCCTGGCTGTTTGCCTGATGTATCCACCGCAAGCTCCCATCTGAACATCTGAAAATTTCTTGGGCGGCCGCAAAGGATCTTGGGGTGGGCATGCATAGTTCAGATCTTTGGCCGGGAGACGAGGAGGAGAGACACAAGGTAAGTCTATGGAGCAGCATGCACCCGCACAGACTTTGTGCGACATCAGAGAAGAGGAGGACCCGCACCAGCGCTGGAGGGACAGCTAAAAACTACAGGAAAGAAGAAGATGATCAGATCAAGAGGCATTATTTAAGGTAAGTCCCTACATTAGCAGTGTGGGGGTGACTTTTGCCCTTAATGTGACTTTAACTGTATTTCTCCACAAATACAGTCCTCAGTATCGCTCAGTAGCTTTCCTCAGCTCCAAGCCTCTTAGCACACATCTATGTGATACTCACACTGCTCACCCCTCGTGGGTCACTGACTCTCCCTCAGCAGTGTGTCCAACAGGTCCCTTGGACCACTGGCCCTCTCGAACTCTCCCATCCTCCCTTGGTTGTTCCACATGTGCTTCGAGCACACACCTGGGTCTGCCTGTGGCCATGTGCCTCCTGCACACCCACAACCCCGCTGAGCTCTGGTCCAGACTCTTAATAAGGCTGCTTTCAGCCACCTGATCCTCCTAGACTCGTCCATGGCAACACCTGGACCCAGGACTAGAGATTCCATCCAAAATAGTCCAGAAAACTTATAAGAAAGTGAAAAGCCAGTTTCTTCCCTGCAAACATATTCACATCCTGGAACCTCTCAGCCCCTCTAACTGAGCGTTCTTGGTTATTCTACCTCATGGTGAACACCCAGCTCCCTCCTGTGAACCTGTTGTTTGATCTGACTTCCCGGCTACCGACACTTTTGATTGACCCTTCGACTACGATTCCTGCTGCCTGCCACGACCCGGAACTGGACCTGACTACCCGATTATTATTTCAACTTTAGTCTCTTTTCCAGAAGCGCGGATTATCTATTTCTCAATTAATTATCATTAACTCTTTCTAATTAGCATAGAGGTGATCTAGGAGGCAGTTTTCCCATGTGTGGTCACTTTTAAGGAAACCTGTTATGATACAACCATGCAGGTTATCATTTCTGGCCTCTTTCACAAAATGTTCTTTGCCTGGCTGTTTGCCTGATGTAATGGCTTGTTATATTTTCAAGGTTTTCCCTTTTGCTTGTAGCATGCTTGTTTCAAGTCAGTGACCCAGAAAGTACTGAACTTTTCAGATAGAGGTCTATTTTTCTCTCAACACGGGCTTCCTTTGCATAGTAAAAACATTACTAATTAGTAACAACAAAAATGGTATTTTGCTCCGTTTAGTATCTTACACAAAATTAGTAACATTTATTACCAAGAATTGGCTAACATTTCTTCCTACCTTGCAGGTAAAATAACTCTTCATATGGCAATGCTAAAGCAAGACCTGGAAATAGTTGAACTGATGCTAAAAAATGGAGTAGGTGTCAGGTCTCAAGCCTCCTGTAGCTGTGAATTCGAATGTGCATTCTACTATGGTAAGAAGGTTTCATAGCATTTTCATAGACAATGGTGAACTGTTGCAATATTAGTAGTGGCTGCAAAAGAATGGAAAATAATACCGGAACACTGTCCTTTAAGTGGTTTTGTACATAAAAATACTGTATAGTAAAACTTCCAGGGAATTGCTATAGATTAACACTGCAGGAAGACATTACGGTCTAATGAAGAAGTAATCACATAAGAGAACCTGTGTCACTGTGCTTTTGTTCACAACTGCTTCTCTTCACATAAGAGTCAATGCTTCAGCTTGAAGCAGGTTGATGCAGCTTAGAAGGGAGTCAAATGTAGGGCAGAAGGAGGCGAAATGTACCTCTCAAGGATCTCTGAATGATCTCAAAAATTGAATTCACCTAAAAGCAAGATGCATTTGCCCATCAATATAAGCCATTCCACTTTATTATATGCAGCATATACATGCAACATATTATAAAAAAGCATACAGCACATATATAGAAAAGTCAGCTAAAAACAATATATGCCAATACTCACATGTATTCCTACTACTTCTTGACATACTGTATTTTCAGATAAAAACACTAGTTATTATCAAGTATTCAGCCTGTTACAACCAATTTGAAGTGCCAACGTTTAAACCCTTGTTAAACCCAAAATCATAAATGTAATATATTTCAACTTACCGATTCTTAAATAATGGCTGCATTAATTTAGTTTTTTAGGTTTTTTTCACCTTTATTTTCACCTAGTGATCTGGCTAGTAAGTCTGTTATTTTTCAGCCTTCTTTAAATCAGTAGTAAACCACTGTCTGCACAGCATACTTGCACATTATGGCAAGGTTATCTTAAGAGTGTAACCTTCTCCAGTGCTGTGCAATGCATCTTTGGCCTCCCGCTCTGTTCCTCACTGACACTTTCTCCGTCACCAGCACTTATGGGTTGGAAGGCATCCTCTTTAGTCATTGGGTGGCCACTAATGATGGAACTCCTGCGTATTCACACAGTAGTTACATCCTCCCTGGCATCAGGTCAATTAACAGCATCTTAAAGATTGGCATGCATTATACAGTGTATACAGAAAATAAAAACACCTAGGGGAGATAGGAAGATGTTTTTTGGCAGAAGAGACTACATGTCTCTTCTGCCAAAAAACTTTACCTCCTAGCAATTTGTAGCTGACTAACAAAAGTTGCAGATAGAGGGTTGCGACAGGCAATTTAACACCGACAGTGGTGCTTACAATGGTCTGCCTAAAATGTGTTAGCTGGAGTTTGGCTTCAATTTGTTAATAAAGTCCATCTAAATTTTCTAGTTCCTCTAACACTACCCTCTTCAAAGTGTGACAATGCTGCTGTCCAATGCTGTCCAATGCTGCTGTTGCTCCTTCCTAAAGTGGAGCCCTCCTAAGACAAAAGGGTAATTACTGTCCAGATCACCAGGTGAAAATACAGGGATAAAGTCTAAAAAACAAAACAAATACAGCCACCACATTTAAGGCTTGGTAAGCTGCAATATATAAAATTTTCATTTTTGGGTTTAGATATAACTTAAATAAAGTGCCTTTCTTTCCAAATTCACTGTCGTTTATAAGACATAAAATGATAAAACAATAAAAAAATCAAAATAAAATGATAACCCTATAACAAAAACTAACAGGATGATCCTTCAAGCCTGGCCCATTTCATTCAAGTGATTGCAAAGTGAAGGATGGCAGACATGACTATTACTAAGGATAAATTATGAAAAAAGAAATATTAAAACAAGGTTGTGTTGCACAGAACCAACCATATGCTTTGCTGTTATTTTCTAGTGTGGGTTAGAAGTGAAAAGAGACATCAAACTGGCTAAATTAGTTTTTACTATTTGCTTTTTTCCTGTCCCAGGGTGTCCTGTTGGTAACCAAAGCCTCAGTTGAGCTATTATAGGTATGGTGGTCCTATCCAACAAAATGATACTTGAATACATGTTATCCTGATTCCACCAACAACAAATTATTAGGCATGGTCTGAGAATCAGTACTAGTCCTGGTTCTAGTTATCAGCCTATAACTAACCTTTTAAACAATTTTAGACAGGATTTCATATAGAGCACTTTTCCGAACTGGGAATACTGCATGTACTACGTATATAACCCTCTGTGAGTTCCACCAGCTTCACACATAAATGAATGAAAGAAGAGGGGTCTTCCCCTGGCACACTAGCACATGTGAGAGCAATCCCCATGCATTTCCAATATATCTCTATTGCCGAGCTTCGTGGTTGGTGTTTATTCTTTTACTTTCATAGCATTCTAATGAAGTGTAGTTTGCAGCTTTTTAAAAGAAAAGAAAGGTCACACCAGAATCTCCAAATTAGGCCGCTCATCATGCTGTGCAGTGTAAGCAATGAGAGACTAGGTAACAGGATGTAAGAAGGCAGTCGTAGGCACTGTCACAAAGTTGGTCTAGTGGGTTGCTGTCGTCATGGACTGCAAAATATTAAAGTGTATCTCTAGTGCTCGACAAAGCCTTCAAGCTCCAGGACCCAGAACAAAACCTATTAAGATTCTGAGAAAATAGTCTGTTTGCTTACAAACCCTGAAGCCCCTCAACACATCTAGGTTAGAAACCTAGGTGACGAATAGACACCGTTCCCTGCCTACTAGTGCCTCACAACATACATTTTATGATGAATTATGTAGATTATTGTGCTTTCTTAGGGCAACAAATTGGGGTTGACTTACTAAAGTAAAGCATTATTCACTTAGAATATCCAATCGCATAATAGAATTATAAAAAAATATATAAATAAAACAAAAAGGAATTTTGTCTAGCGCATGATGAGATTATTGAAGAGAACACAGCTTCACTTTACTGTTAAATGAACATTCACTACGCCTTTTAGTATATCAACCCCGTTGACTCAGGCAGTGAAAATAAATTTCTCATTTGCTGCATGCACGTTCAATTTAAGTACAATACTCATGAATTAGCTAGTCATATGCAGCCAGAAGAATGATGCAGTCCAGTTCTTTAAATGCACTTGAGAACTGCCATATACAGAGCACAATAATTACTGCCTATAAACTCTTCAATGTCTTTTCAGTACTTGCTACTAATGACTTTAGTAATCATGTCTCATTTTCCCGCCACCATAAATATTCATACCAATGTGCCTTCTGTCTCTTCTGTATTGGTGCCAAGTTCATGAGTTGCTTTTAGTGGAATGAGAGTGTATAAACATTTTTTGCCATTCAGATCACAGCTCCATAGGTACTCAGCAATCAGCTGACACATTACTTGTCCAAATGATTGTTCATTAGTGTGTGTGAATGTACTCCATCATTCTAGCATTTACCAGTGTAAAAGCTCTGCTATATTTAAACCGTAGGTATATTTTCTGTGACAGAAGGACGGGCGCAGTTATGCCTGCGAGGGGCTGAGTGTCAAGAATAATTTTCTGATTCTCCTCTTTCAAGCTGTGCTAATTTTGTAAAGGCATGGTTAAATGCTTCAACTAAAATTTTGATGTATTTACTGTTATACTGCCATATCACTACACCTAAACCCAGTCTACCTTCCTCCATGAATCACTAGCTGGGTCACCTTGAAGCCTGCATGTGACTGCCTGTCTGCTTATTGCAGGAGCTTTTCTTTGTTCCTGGGATTTATAAAAATTATACATCTACACAAATATATAAACTGTATGTATGTATTTGTTTCCACCTCGGAGTACCTGCATCATAGTTATAATAAAAAAAGCTTCTCTGTTTTTCACAATTGGAACAAAAAATGTATCCAGCTTAATGCAATTTGAAATGCAAGATGCACCATAATAAGTCAGAATGCATCTATGGTGCTGCATACCTGTGAGACCTAAAATATATAACAGTCAGCTATTAGACTTTGGTAGACCATATTGTTTTTCTCTTTAGAGAAATACAGTATATA